GCAGTTTCCCTTCTCTCCCTGTGTTGTTAACGAAAGGCTGTAACCACATTAAGCAAGCATGGAACGAGCCTCTCCTCCCTCCGGCGTCCTGCCAAGCCATGTGGCTGCTTTTCCCAGCTGCATTACTCCACCTCCGTGTCGTACCTCTGTCATCCAAACTCCACCCGAAAGCCTGGCGCTGGTGGCACCAGTCTCACGCTCAGGTGCTCGCAGGGCAAAAAGGTGCCCGGCTGCCACCCCCGAAGCAGCAGCATTTCCTCTGCAGGAGTACCAGAGCGTACCGATGGCTTGTAAATTGTTTCAGGTGTTCAGAGAAAGATTCAGTCCCTTTGTGTTGCTGCTGTCCTGCCCATAGCAGGTGGGAGCATAAGGCCACTGGGAGTTGGCTTGTGTCTCGGGACTGGTGTTTCCTCTGTGGCTCCTCTCTTTTGTATGAGCAAGCTGTTTTCTGCACAGAGTAGACTGTGTGGGTAGGTCTGATCCCGATCGTCTCCTTTCCAGGGGAAACACTGCATCTTGGATGTGTCTGGCAATGCTATCAAGAGGTTGCAACAAGCACAACTTTATCCTGTTGCCATTTTCATCAAACCAAAATCCATTGAAGCTCTCATGTAAGTGCAATGCTATGTTCTGTGCCTCTTTAGGGTGAGCAGCTCTGGCATGTTGGTGGGTTGTATGTCTGCTGCCTCTGCTTTTTAGAAACCAGCGGAGGTTGCTGCTAGTGCTGAACTTGTCCCTTATTAAGAATATCTGGGCCCATTGCTGTCTCTGTGGTGTCCCCCCACATGGTGCACCCAGGCTGCATGGATTGCTCCAGGCTAAAGCCCTTCATTCACCCCAAAGAGGATTATCCATGGGAAATCTAAAAATGTTCCCAAATGTGCCTGCTGTAACCTGCTTACCGGGGCTCCGAGTCCAGGCAGGGGGGCTGCCAACAGCCTGTAGTGGTGGATCACAGCTGGATGGTGGCTGAGCCAGGACAGCCCTGGGGAGCAGAGAGGGGATGTTTCATGTGTGCCTGAGAGGGACCTTCTTCTGTCCTGCTGCTCCTGGCCCTGGGGAGCACAGGCTGGAAAGGACGTAAGAGCTGAGCTTGCAACTCTTCCAAGCAGCAGCAGCAGAGAGTATTATCTGTGAGGAGATTCAGTAGCTAGAGATGGACTCGAGATCAGAAGAGACTCTGCTGGCACCAAGGGGGCTGGGAAAACCCCTTCTCAAGCTAGAAGGGGTCAAATTACTTATTTGGGTGTTGTATGAATATGAGGGAACCTAGGCAATGAGGGTGGTGACAGGCTCTGGAAAAGCAGGGAGACTTCTGCAGTGGTCTTGCAAATTGGGAGGATTGTCTGGATTTGAGTCCACTCTGCTATGGTGAACGCGGTGGGGTGGTGGCAGTGGGAAGAACTGCAGGAAGTTGAGGTGAAGTGCCAAGGCAGCAAAGAGCGTTTGGGGAAGGGCCCTGCACAGCTTCCATTCCTGGTGTGCAGAAGCTTCCCAGGCATCCTGGGTCCATGGGCTATTTTTGCTTCTGTTCATTGCAAAGAAAAAGAGCTAAGCTTCTACTTTTTGTATATGGCAGGGAGATGAACCGGAGACAGACGTATGAACAGGCCAACAAGGTCTTTGACAAAGCCATGAAACTTGAGCAAGAGTTTGGAGAGTATTTTACAGGTGAGTGTCCTGAGCAGGCTTGTATCTGATTTATTTTATTTTTCCGGCTGGCAGCTGTGACCTGTCTGCCAGCACTGTCTTACTGCAGGGTCATGGGAAAATGTCCAGCTTCATCAAAGCAAAAAAGAAATGGCACTTTGCCAGCAGGGCTCTGCAAAGGGACTGCTCCAAGATCGATGCGTAAGAGTAAACCAGCTCTAGAGAAGGGGACAAGTTGTCAGGCAGGATTTTCTGAGTTTGTGAATGCTTATTGGCAACTTTAATAATAATAAGAAAAGTAAAAAAATTCCCAGGCAGGGGAAGCGCAGCATAGATTCAAGGTGCTACAAGGCCACAGGAAATAAAACTCCCTGTATGGGGGAAAGGGGAGAGTTTTCAAAAAGAGGAAAGAGTAATTTTAAAGAGGAAAGACAAAAGATTAATGACCTAAATGGTGGAGACTGTCCTGAGTTATTGCAAAACATCTCCCAAAAAAAGACTGGAAGTTTGGCTGGCTTCCTAAGTAGTCTTTGCTGACAAGCCAGTCCGGGGCGGCCTGGCGCTTTGTGCCTGCAGAGATGAGCTGCTCATGACACAGGCATCCTTGTGCATTCAGGAACTAATGTTTGTAACATGATTAATTCTGGAAAATCACAGGCAGGCGAAGAGGCAGAGAAACTGGTCTTCCATCTTTCCTCCAGTGCAGTAACTGTTTCTTCTAAAGTTGAGGAGTGATAATCCTGCTAAACCCTGTACTACCCACCTAACAGCTACTGGGAAAAACCCCAAGCAGAGCGCTTTCCAAAAATGAATCTCAGCTGAGCAAATGTATGGGTACAAACAGGGTGAAAGCTTTCCCCAGGCCTCCTGTCCCAGGCAGCAGGTCCAGAGCTGCCAGCCGCTCTTCAAGAAAGAGCACTAAGGAAGCCTGCGCTGCAGCTTTGCCAGACCCTTGGCATGCCATCATGCGCTTGGATGGTGAGTTTGAGGTTGACCTGGGGAAGGAATGCTCCTGGCTGAAACCTGTTGTTGAAAGAAGTGGGTAACGGGCAGAGAGATGGTCACTGTAGCAAGTTCTGTGCCAGGAACTTACACTGAGGGAGCAGAGACGCTGGGGAATGGTCCTGACTGGGCTGCAGAGGCAGCCTGCATTACCAGAAAGCTTTGGCCCTCCATCTGCATCCTCCTGCTCTGGCGCAGGGAGCACAGCGAAGTACTTCACGTTGTGTCTGTACCAAGCAGCGAGACTGTCGCTGGTCTTTGGGCGAGAGTTACCGCTGCGAGCGACAGCCATAAGCTGGCCTCTTCCAGCCTGACAGTGCTGCGGTTCCCACCCTGAAGCAGAGGAAGCAGCAAATATGAGGAGCCCTCAGCGGCCGACCAGGGGGGAAAGAAAAATCCAGGACCTCCGGGTATGCGCTCAGTGCACACCAGCTAATCCGTGTGAGGCCCTCCCGTTCACCGCGGCGGAGTAGCTGCGGTGCCGGGGCCAGCTGCCCGCAGCCTCGGCGCGGTGGCATGACACAGTTTGCAAAGCTGATTAGCAGCCCGTTGTGGAGAACCTGGCCAGCACTTCACACGGGCAAGGAATTCTGCCAGCATGGGATCAGCTCTCACTAATCCCCTTGGACATGCTGGGTTAACCCTCTGTGTCATCGTGCGCCTGCTGCAGCTCCTGTGACGCAGCTTGTCTCGTTCATTAATTGTTCATCATGCCACACGACCCTTCAGTGCAGAGTGAAGGCCTTCCCCGTAGCTCGTGGTGGGGAAGACGCGGTGCTGCCCAATGCTCAGGGTCTTGCTTGTTGTCTCCTCTCCCAGCCATTGTACAAGGAGACTCTCTTGAAGAGATTTACAGCAAAATCAAACAGATCATTGAGGACCAGTCTGGGCACTACATCTGGGTCCCGTCCCCAGAGAAGCTCTGAAGATGTCCCCCACCTGCTTCCCTGTGAGCAGAAGATCTCCGAAGTCCCACCCCACCCAAGCCCTCTGCCCCAAGGAGAGGGGATATGAAAACTATTCCTGCTCCTTTTTTTAGATCGTCGCAAAATTGAGTTTTCTAGTCCTGTTTCTTTTGTTGGGATGAACTCATTCATCATGTGACTGTTCCCACCGTTCCTGCATGGACTTTCCCACTGCTCCATTAGAGACAGATGAGAACCCATTCAAGGTCGTTTTTTATCATTATTATTATTA